CCTCCCAAACGCCCAAGACAACGCTTCTAAGTAGCAATATTAATATTAAAGGCGCGAAAAACAAGTTGTGACCCAACAGGAGCAATAGAATTCGTTCGCCTCCAACAAACGGAGTCATTAGACTAGGTACAACTTCCTGTTATGTACTATTTGAAACACGTTCTCTAGCACTACAGAGCTTGAACGTCTATATTTCAGAATAACAATCTGTTATTCTGACATAAACTCTCCATTACTGCTCGAATACTATATATATATATATAATATATATATATATATATATATTATATATATATATATATATATATAATTGGTTCTGTATTGTTCCCATCTCATTATGTTTTTGGTAGCTGACGAAAATCACGTCCCAAATCAAGTATGTTCAAATAGTACATAACAGGAAGTTGTACCTAGTCTAATGACTCCGTTTGTTTGGAGGGCGAACGTATTCTATTGCTCCTGTTGATGACAACAGGAAGCCTCCATTTGTTTTTCAGCGCTTTAGTATTAATATTGCTTCTAGAAGCGTTGTCTTGTGGCGTTTGGGAGTGACTAACACCCACAGGTGACTTGTCTCAAGCAACGACCCAGCCTTGCAAGCAAACCTTTTAAGTTCGCCCAGGCGAGAGCGACCGACAGCTAGGCTACCGCGGAGGAGGGGGGTTGAGTGGAGCACTTTCTTTGAAGTGGCCGCCGAGACGCGGCGGAACTCGGTGGAGGAATGCGGCCGTCTATGAAGACGCGACGCGCGAATAGGAGGGGGTAAATATTACATTTCCCGAGCGCTATGTGCAGCAGCCACTTGCCTTGCGCCGAAAACTCGTGCATTCCACATTCTAGCCCGCGGTAAGTATCTAATGTGGTAAGACGAAATAACTTGTCATGAGAATTTTTTTTCTGAATTTTTTCCCAACTTTCCCCTTGCCAGTAGCCCTGGCGAGGCGGGAGTTTATTTTCGGGTTAGGGAACATGCGCCGCAGATCTATGGCTTATGCGGCAAAGAAGGGGGCAGAACTTACTTACTAACTTATTTCTAACTTAACCTATGGATGAAGCCGGCACTTTGGCCGGCAACTAAGATTTGCACTAAACCGTATTCGTATTTTATTTCATCTTTTATTTGATTTAGTTGTATTTTTTTCTTCTTTTGTTTCACACGCACATTCACACTACGTTATGTTTACACTTGACCCACGCACTTTCACACGACACTATATACACCCTAAACACTATTTACACTATGTGCGCCACGGCGCCGACTTTGCTCCAAGCGTACGTTTCTGAATTTCGTGTTACCGAACTTCTTCCCCCCTTTCCCCCCTCAAAGACCTCTTTGTGCACGCTAGGCGTCGCGCGGTCCCTACGGTTCGGGTCATTTGCTGGCGGCTATGCTATGGGCGGCCGGAATTCCAATGCTGGTGAAATATTATTGTGCACCGCCGCCAAATTCCAATGTAGGCGACCGTCCCATTACAATGTACAGCCCACATAATCATAATTCAAAGAATTGCTCATGCATTAGTTGAAGGTAACAATTCAAGATATTAAACTCCTTGAAAGTTTCTGGATTTTTAATAATTGGAGTAGCTTCGGCTTCTCTGTAACTGAGTTTCTAATCTTTATTGTTGCGCAATGGTTACAAAATGATGAGCGTGTTTTAAGAACTGGCCGTAAAATTTAGTAGTGCTTGTTGTGGAGAATACTATCTTGTGCGATAAAGGGATGTAGGGAATATGTAGTACTTATAATTACGAATTTGTCCTCATTATTACTAGATGTTTTGAAGAAAACAATTAATCAGAAAACAAATCAATGTCATTAATACTGCACTGTAATTAATACGATCTTGATTATTGAGGTCATTTGCTAGTTCGTATTCATCTATTGATTTCCCGTCGGTTCTTTAATCTTCATTATTTACCTTTACATTTTTGTACATCTTTATACTTTCATCGTCCTCCATGGGGTCGGTACGACCTCGTTGGAAACCCCTGTTCTAATCTGTTCCGGATACAGGTATCATGCCCTTGTTGCGGCGTGGAAGGGAAAGAAAGTTATGTTCCCAGGATAAAGCACGTCCACCATACTGATCTCTACATTACTGAATAAGAAATGGCAGGCGCGATCATGGTCCGTTCTTGGGGCTATAAAATTTTGAGGCACCACCAGCAGACGGATCAATTTCAACGCCGATCATTGATAGAATTTCATTTTTATTTTAAATCTTTCTAGCAACGCTACACATGGCACATACTTCTTTTATTTGAAACCCTGATGTAAAAAACAATTATAAAGCTATTTAGGAATGCTTGCTATCAATATTCAAATATCGTGTGCAAATCTTTCTTTATCAATCTGCTTGGAACTCAGCGCACTGAGATGTAATATCAACTAAAACGCGCCAAAAAAAACTTGGATTCATTGTTACATCATGGCTACATCAATAACGTGTTTGGCAACGCTTCTTTTATCTGACTACGAACTATAACTAAAGATCAGTTATACGTCGTCAAAAATCTCGAGCAGCATTCCTTCATTCCGTACTTCCGACTTAATTATAAGATTAATATTCTAAACCATGATTGTAAACCATTATTGTAAACCATGATTGTAAGCCATGATTGTAAACCATTATTGTTTGGTACAAATTGTGGAATTCTATCCCGACAAAATCTTTAAGATCTGTTGTTACAAGAATGCGTCAGAGTGTACATGGAGGGCAATGGATCATTCAAAGATACAATAAACGTCTTCGTTCTCACCATTAAATGTCATTGTCAATCTTTCTATAGTGGGTATATTGTTAATAGAACCCTACTTTGTCCGTTGACTACTTTGTTAACTTCATGTAGTCTCTCCGAATTTCGAAACAAAAAAGAGTTTTTGTTGATTAACTTGTTTCTCCGAGCAATTTGTTGGGAAAAACTGAAAGAAAGGAACTATTAAAATGAAGGGAAAACAATTGGCACTTCATTTTGTTTTTAAGACATTTAAATATTATATTTTTTATTCATGATTAATACGGGAGTTTAATTTCGTCCCAGCAATTTTTATGGGTTACCTTTAAATTTTACGAGTCTTGTGAAGCAACTCACATTGGTGGCAAACTGACCTATGTCGTAGTAGACACTTTGGGGCAGCCCTCCGGATGACGGACAACTATATTTCCGTTGTTTCTTCAAACGCACAACAACCAATGTACATATCCGCTACTAAAAATAAATTAAGAAAACGTCAAAGTCTAGGTCGCGGGCGAACACTATTAATAGGATAAACGCTGAGAATCTAGTGCTTCGTAGAGAGCTTACGTAACTTTTGACCAGGTGACATAACTCTTGTGCATAGACGGTAGTGAACAGTTTCCTATAATATGAGATGAATCAGAATGTACTGTGTGTAATGGTAAATGCACCTACGTACATATGAAGTACGTATTGCGTAAGAGAAGCAGTGAATATTTCTTTCAAACATGTAAGTGAGAGAAATATTACCCTTCAAACATCTAAATTAGGGTCGCATCTGGAGCAGGCGCCCTGCTTAAGATCATGGGTGATTGGACTCCCCAAACCGCCGTCAACGCTAACACGATCCAGACGTGGATACAGGAATGTTTGGGAACTTACGAGACAGAGTTTTCAAAAGGGCAAAAGTCCTCTCACAGTTAGGTCAGTTTATTGCGTCCAGGGCATGCCCAGTTCTGGCGGGGGTGGCGTAATGGCCTTGTAAATCTCCCTGTTTGCCATATAAGGATCCTCTAGCGTTGATATCGGACATACAGCCCAGAGACTTCGCTGTGTCAACTGCACACTGCTCTGCAGCTCTACTTTTCAATTAAACTTCATAGGACTTGGTCTCTGTACTTGAAACCTCGCTCACCACCACGCTCCTCCAGGGAACGTAGCTTCCCTGCGAACTCAATAGTTTTGCATCCTGTACTGGTAGCATTTGTAATTGCCTGCAATCGCTGCTAGTAGCACGACCTGCAATGCGGGCGTTCAAGGTCATTCAAGGCCCCCAATGAGGGCGGGCCGAGGTCAGAGAGGGCCTACTTTTGAGATGAAGGTTTTGCGATTCTATTAAATATTAATTACTTGATAGTGTGTGATAGTCGATACAATAAAATAGTAAAAGCAGCACGATTTTTTTCCGATTCGGTAGCTAGTGTAATACAATTTCTAATAAATCAACAAAGATAAGCAATTCATTTATAAGTCTTAATTTGATAAAGTTAAATAATTATGGCAGATTTTTCCGCAATCGGTTATTAATATCAGACTGATGAATTCAAATTTGTTAAAATGTATTTTTTATTATTTAAGTTACCAACACTACATGTCGTCACGACACACTTATTCTAATTTAATTTTATTTCACATCACTCTATGTAGAGATATAAAGTTTCGCATGAATTTGTTTTCAATTTTATTTTGATTTTTTATTAGCAATTTTTCACAGTTTATATTTGTTGTAAATTTTCACTTCTATAGATGCTCGCTAATCGGTCAAGAAGTTCTTAAGCTAAAAAAAGAAATGCACCACACAGCGCTAATCCCTTCCAATCGCTGTTCAAACAGTATTTCCGCGTGGATTTCACTCTCATCGTCCTTGTGTGTGCCTATAAATCCGTCTTTGCCCCAATACAAGAATGAACGTAATGGAAACACCACCGCGGATCTTGGTATACATTTCTCAGGATCGTACAACAATCTCGTACTCAAATGCAGGTCCATTGCAGGTCGTTGGGCGTTCCCTTCGCGCAGTGCTGACCAACCACGGAGTCAGCCCGACCCCCCACCCCTAGGCGCTAACTCCTCCCCTCTCTCTTCCCAGCGTGGCAAGACGAAATAGCTTCACTGTGCTTGGGAGTTCGTGCTGGCGCGCACGCCTGCGTCCTGTCTACATTGTGACTGAATTTGAGCGCGTACCATGTTTTGTGTAAATAGTTTGAAGTTTATATGGGATGATTTGAGAGAGATAAGAAAATGTGAAGTAGCAATTATAGTGACTGTGTGACTTTGATTTCCTTGAAAAATTAAATTTTTGTGTGGTGTAATTGAAGGCGACAAGTCTTATTACTTCTTTAGTTTCGTGTGTAGTGGGAGTGAGCTGTGGATCTGTGTGAGTTAGTGTGTTCGAGAAGCTCTGCGATCATGGCGCAACTGAACTTCAGTGAAAGTTCTGCATTTGACCACTCGGATAACGAATATGTAAGTAATTAATTTTAATACTCTATTGCTGTGTTTTCCAATCTTGTTTTAAACTAAAAGCTAATTTCATTTTGCTGCTACACAAGCGGGCCGGCACAAAGTAACACTATACTTCACACGAATAGTAAAAAAAATACAATTTTGAATTTTGGTTTGGTAGTGTTTCTTTGTAGTCCAGCAAAACAAGCAACAGCCCGCACTGTGGTTATGAGTGTTCGCGAGACGACAAAAATTATAACACAGATCGCGGGTTAAAGACTATTGCTGTACTGCTTTACGTTTGCATTGTTGCAGAGGACTAGAATGTGTTTCAATAATTTAAACGTTCAGGCACAACAATTGTAATACAACAGTAGGGCACGTCTAATACTTCGCGCAATGAATTTTTAAAATTTGGTAAAGATGCAATAGTATGCAGGGGGATGTTGGAATTACCTCAACAATACGATGTTGAATTTTCGATTGTAAAATCTGTGCTTAAATTTCTTTTGAGCTGTAACTTCACACACACATCAATATTAAGGTGTCTTAGTGCCAAAGGTGGTTAAGATTGATATAGTGGCGAGAAGAGATAGAAATTTTCTTCCTGAAAATCCGGATGTAAGTTTGGTGATGGTTGCCGGATGTGTCACGCAGAATGTCACAGAAGCTTTTGAGAAGAAACTTGATAAACACATCAGTATTAAGATCTAATTGTGCCGTGACGGAGACCAATAGGATATTTACATTTTGGGAGATACTTTTCATGAAGCCCTTGTGACACTAACAAAATTTTCTGAATTGTTTTTATTCGAATAGAGGAAGGTTTATGAAGAAATATGCGAAGGCCAGATGTGTATTTCTCAATGCAATTTATCCATCAATTTTAGACCATTAAATTATGTTGTGCACATAAAAAATGTAGTTATTGAGAATAACGTTTTTTCGTATTCTCAGAAAGTCTAGCAGTTGGTAGTTGCCTTAAATTAGTTGATTGATATGTATTTTGCTAATTATAGAAATTAATGTGCAAGTGAAATTCTACCCGTCAGAAAATATTAATTGAATTAAACTTGTAATAAAAATATAAAGTAATACTAAGAACAAGCTGAATGCAAAATAATATAGATGATACTATCAAGGTAATATTTAATAATACTAGATTGCGAACAATCTTTCCGTAAACAAGAACATTGTTTATGGTAAGACAAATCCCTTCAGAGTATGATCAATTCAAGTGCCATTTGAGGCGTCTGATAAACACACATTTACTTTTATCTTCAGTTGTCATTGAGTTCGACGCGTAAATGCAAATTTAACTGAAATCATTTCTAACCCTCGATTCAATTCCTCTTTGCGATCCACTAAAAATGGAATGGCCAACAATGTCTGTAATAATAGCAAAGTCGAAGAATTAATCTTTTTAGCAACGAATAATCCTTTTTGTGAGAGTACCTTTACACCGGGAATCCCAAACAATACTTTGGCGAGTTTGTGGGTCATCCCGTCCCTGAAGCTACATGCATCTCGTGTGTAGGTTACGTTCTATTTGGGAGGGCATTCATTGCTGGCGTCACCTGCTAAGGTCATTGGTGCCGTAAGTGCAATGCATGTCTTTATCGCGGGAGGCGCCGGTGATCGCCCGCTCGATGGCGAAATCCGGCGCCGACCTACATCGGCTTACGTTTTTCATCCGACAAGGTAGATCCCAGCAACGTGACACCGCCCGGGCGCGCCCCCGTAGTCCTCGAACTAGCCAGCTTTAGGCTCCTCTCTCGCCTCCCGACAAGTGTGGTGGTGTAGTTCATGCAAGTGTGTATGTAAGGGGTGGGTACTAGGAAAGGGAAGGAAAGATCGCGCGCGATCCGTGGCCCGTTTGTTTGAGCAGCTGCCCGCAAGAATTCTCCCGGCTCAACTCGTCATAGCTGAAAAGCTATGTCGAGTCGGGAGTGGAGCCGAACTTAGCCAGTCACGCTCGTCCATATTTTGGTCTTGGAGAGTCTCCCCACTGATATATACCTCACCTATTGATTCACCTCCTTACTTGATGCTGGTGACGCTTGTCCTCTCTGACGTTTAAAGTCACATTTTAGTGCAAATGAAAATTGCGAAGATTGAGTCTTCGAATGCCGGTTTTTCGTGTTATTTTTGTTACTCTACTCCAGTTTTATAATTTCCCTGCAGTATCATTCCTTTATCATAAGTCATTTCCGGTTTGGTGGGTACTCTAATTCCGGATGTTAAACCAGGGGAAAAATCCCAGGCTCTACTCACAATCTTCTGTGGTCACAGAATAACATCACCTACTATGCCTGAGTACTATACAGTGGCAAAATAGAGCAGTAGCCCTGAACTCACGTCAGTTATTCATCTGCGAAAAATGGGGGTTAAAAGGAGAACTTGGTTTGAAAATGGGGTGCCAAATAAGCCTATGATAATAAAATATCGGAATGTTTTTTGTGACTGTAGACTTGAGCACGGCTCGTGACTGCCTTGTTTCGTCAAATTATGTTTGTACTGAGCGTCAGAGCTGATGCCAATATGTTAATATCACACGTAAAAAATCCCTTTTTGTATTACGCCGACCATGCAACCACGAGACAATTATCCAGGATCTCTGAGGTTTGGCGGATAGGAAAGACCGCTCACAGCACTTTTGCTTCCAGTCTCCTCTTGTAGGGTAGGTTTCGATCTAGCTATATACATAGTCTTTGTCAAAACTCTTACTTTTGTCGGGACTCGAACCGAGGACGAAGATTCAGGTGTGGATTAGGAACTGATACATCCGCTGTTGCAGCCGATATTGGATCTAAGGCAGACTGCTACAACAATTAATAATCTGGCCTTGCCGACGCCTGGTAACATTTGATTAGTTTGGGGGATGGCGGAAAAAGCAAGGAGATCAGAAAGAAACTTACCGAAACAAGAATTGTACTATTCCAATGAAAAAAAAACAACAAATAATACTGTATTAAGAATGTGAGACTAGACATATCGTTTTCTTTACGAGTGATGCTACATCTGTTTTCAGACCTTCAGGAACACGGAAATTGTAAACCCCTTTCTCGTCCGACCCTCACCCACAAGTCAAAGCGGCGCCTCGCACGTCGCTTGCGGCGAGTCCCGAGTTATAGCTGAGGGGTGTAACGTTTCAGTCGTCGGATCAAGTTTCCATTTACTTTCCGTCGATCCCTTCTTCTTTGAGAAATAATGGACTTTCTCAACAACAAAATACACATTATAATTACAATTTAATTTCAAGACTTGCCCTACGGTTCTCTAGTTACAATTTCGTAAACGTAGAAGTTATTACTGCTACAATTCCTGGCATAACAAGCAGACATGCCAATATTTCTGAGACTCTTTACCACTTGTCTCCATGACATTGCAAAACATTCTTCTTGTGTAGTGGCTTCTATCATAATACCCCGTTGCTTTGAGAAGATAACTGACAACGGTAACCCGCTTCAGGGGCTCGACAACTATTCAGTTTCTTTGATGAGACGTAAAACCTCGACACGCCACGGATAGAACGAGAGTCGAAAGCATAAAGTCGTCAAGACTTCGCGCCCGAAAGCTAGGCAAAGAGTAATCACCACCACTCGGGAGACGGCGACAAGTCGGTGCATGCTGCGTTGTTGACCGCTGAGATACACTCCCTCCCCTCCCTTTCCTTCCCCGCTCCCCTCTCCTACCCCCACCCCCATTCCTCAGCCAGCAGCGCCAGGGCAGCGCGCATGACCGCATGCGATGCAGGCCGACTGACGCCATCGTTTAGGCAACAGAGGACTCCCGTGTCTTGGAACAGTAGGTGTCGGTTTCAGAGCGTTCTTACGATTAGCTATCACACTCCGGTGCAATGACATGCGTTGAAGCCACTCACGCCCGTAAAGTCCAAAATATAGCGAATGAAACTGTAACTATGTAATTTGGAAACTAGTGTTGTTCCATATCCCCCCCCCCCAATTCTCCTATATACCGCATATTAGTCAGAGACAGTGGTAGGACGCTGTCAACTAGTTTTAACAATTACTCATTTAATTGATTTGAAAATACCCGAAACTTCGTTACAATTTATTTTTGCTGATAGAATGGTGTGTAGAAAAGTCGTAGCGTAAGTTATCCACGAGGTCATTGTAGCGTAAGTTATCACGGGGTCTTGAAAGTGACAATTTTAGTTTGTCTACGGTTTGAGGGTGGCGGATAAAGGGTGGATTCAAAAACTTCATTAGTGTGCCATTATTTTGGTGGGACAAAAATACACGGACGAACTCCAACGAAATAAGTGCTAATTCATGCAGGAGGAAATGGGTAGATCCAATAAAATGAAAAATGCACGGTTATAAGTTTGCAGGCCAGCGGTTTATTTAAAATGTGATAGGCTATGGAAGTGGGAATTCTCGACCTCAACTCTTGTTTGCTTTTACTTTCTCGCTACTGCTTACGCAATGTAAATAAATTATTGTAATGCTGCTTAAAAAAGAAAAGAAAAAGAGGTGAATTTTCGACAGAAAAATTGTTGTCGGGCAATAGTATCACAAAACTAGATAAATCTAGTCACTATATATAGTAAAGTACTACTTCCAACACGTCAACAATCCATTTTTTGAGGGTCCTAACTACCGAAAAATCGATTGACGGCAAAACGTCTGCCCGACTAGGAACAACGCTAATAGCTAAACTGTTAGTAGGATTTTCACAGAATTTCAAATTCCCCAATCGATCTAGCTGATGTCGCTGCCCCTTGAATTTGAAAACTATATTTTAATTGTTGGATGTAGCCCTACTTAAAGTGAAGTTCCAGATATATTTTCGAAATTTAAAAAAAGCAACAAATTTTTGGTTACATTTTGTCGGATAGGGTAAAGGATGCTTAAGAGAATGGTGCAGGTCTCATTTTCGTTGAAATGCCTAATTTTTAGAAAATTACGAGATTTCTAATTTCTTGCTAATTTGCAAATTCGAATTTCCCGGGCTCAATTTGCACGTGTCGGATGAATGTGAATACGACAACGCCACAC